GCGGCCACTGCACTCCAGTCTGGGCGACAGAGTGAGACTCCAACTCAAAAAAAAGAGAAGGTTTTGTAGAGAAAAGGTCTTGCTATGTTGCCCAGGCTGATCTCAAATTCCTGAACTCAAGCAATCTTCCTGCCTCAGCCTCGTGAAGTGCTGGGATTATAAGCATGAGCCACTGCACCCAGCTGCATTTTTGAATTAATTTTATAGATAGTAGGAGGTATAGGGTAAGGTTCTTATTGTTTGCATATGGATGTCCAACTGTTCCAGCCCCATTCATTAAAAGATTATTCTTTTTCCAATGAATTGCCTTTGTACCTTTGTCAAAGATCACTTAAACATATAGTGTGAGGCTGTTACAAGACTATTCTATTCCATTGATCTATGTGTCTACTCTTTAATTAATACCACGATTTTTATTATAATGGCTGTACATGAAGTTGCAAATCAGGTAGCATGAATCCTCCAACCTTGCTCTTTGTAAAAACTGTTTAGGCTGTTCTAATTCTTGGGCCTTTCCATCTAACTTCTAGAATCAGCTTGTCAATGCCTATAAAAGTCTGTTGGAATTTTGGTTGGGATGGTACTAAATCTATAATTTGGGGAGAATTAACTACCTAATGATACTAATGAGTCACCTAAACCATGACTATGGTATATTTTCCTTTTATTTATACCTTTTTTAATCACAGTATATACACATATAAAATTTATAACTAATTTTTCATATTTTTTGGTGCTATAATAAATGGTACTTTTCAGTCAAGAAGGGTAGCTCACGCCTATTAATCCTAGCACTTTGGGAGGCCAAGGTGAGAGGACTGCTTGAGCCCAGGAGTTCGAGACCAGCTTGAGCAACATAGTGAGACCCCATCTCTACAAAAAAATCTAAAAAATTAGCCTGATATGGTGGCACATGCCTGTAGTCCCAGCTATTTGGGAGGCTTAGGTGGGGGATTCACCTGAGCCCAGGAGGTTGAGGCTGTGGTGAGCTTAGGCAACCACAGCTTAGGCAACAGAATGATAGTCTGACAAAAAAAAAAAGAGGTGTTTTTAAAATATCAATTTTCAGTGGTTTCAGGGAGATTATGCAACTACAGTGAATTTTTTATATGTCGATTTCATACCTGGAGAGTTTTCTAAACACATTTATTTGTCCTAATAACTTTCCTGTAGATTCTCTGGGATTTTGTACACAATAGTGTTGTCTGCAAAGAGGAATGGTTTCATTTCTTCCCCTCTGGTATGCATGCCTTTTCATTTCTTCTTGCCTTCTAGCTCTGGCTTTGATCTTGAGTCCAGTGATACACAGCAGGGCAAAGACAAATATTCTTGCCTTTTTTTTAAGAGTTGGAGTCTCACTCAGTAGCCCAGACTGGAGTGCAGTGGTCGCTCCCGGCCACCGCAGCCTTGACCTGCTGGGCTCCGGCTATTCTTCCGCCTCAGCCTTCCGAGTAGCTGGAATTACAGGCGCGCGCTACCACGCCGGGCTAATTTTTTGATTTATTGTAGAGATGAGGTCTCGCTGCCCAGGCGGGTCTCGAACCTGCGGGTTCAGGCAATTCACTCACCTCAGCCTCCCAAAGGCGCAGGATTACAGGCTGAGCCACTGAGCCCGGCTTATTCTTGCCTTTTTTCTGATGCTTAACACCTGAGATTCCTTTCCCAGAGTCTCCAGTTTCGGTGGCAACATTTTGGTTCTTAATGCAGTATAGTCACTTCTCAAAGAAGACCCCTGGGAAAAAGTCAGGAGCCTGCAGAAGCATGGTTACAATGTGGGCAGATCAGGGCCCAGCTAAGTTGCTCTGGCTGTGCAGGAGGGTAAGCTGCTGCAGCTCTGGGCCTGTAGAAAACGCTGAGGACCCCAGTCCTCTGAGAAGTCCTTGGGGGCTAGGCAGGCTCCCTAGGTCACAAATGCCCACAGACAGGCCATCCTTGTTTATGGCCATCCTTTCAAACCCTGGGCAGAGTGGCAAGGCAGCACTGATAGACTCCTGAGAAACGGAACCAGAAATCCAGTTGATGTTGCTTATGAAGAGTTTGGTTCCTGGAGATAACTAAGTTGGAGGTTTGGAGTGATGTGGCTAGGGGCACGGGAACCTTGGTAAGCACCCAATCAGTGTTTCTCATAGCCCTGTAGGAATGCATCCTATACTAGCAGAAAACTCTCTGCCCCATGGGATAGGCCCAAGCACCACCTGCCTTCATCTCTAACTTCAGGTCCTCTGGTGGGCTTGGCTGCAATGTGGCCTCTGAGCTCAATGCAGTTAACTGCACATATCTGGTGGTGTATGTGCCAGAGTATCCCCTGCCACCCAGCCTCAGATATGGCCTCTGGAGGATGGCTCTGACCTCCTACTCTGCAAGCCTCCTAGTGTGGAGGGACACTGAACACTCCACTTGGGTACAGCTCTCATTGTTGTGTCCCTCAAACTCAGGCTCCAGCTTCTCCTTTATGGGATCTCCCAGGGACCCAGATAGCCACCATGCCTTGCCCAAGCTGCCCTTCTGCAGGGATCATGAGCCCATGGGCTTCCACAAGTGCCCATCATGTCACGTTCACACTGTGGCACCCAAGAAAGAAAGAAATTCATGCTTCTGATGTACATTTCTCTTGAGATCTGAATGTGCACAGAGTGGCCATGGTCCTGAGAGTAAGGTTTCACTTGCTGCTATTTTTTGCAAGTAGAAGGGAGATGGTCATTCCAGACCCAGATTTGTTGTGGTGCCACCTTAAAGCACCACCTAGTGGTGAGGGGTTTTAACCTTGAAACTGAGGGTAATAGTCTTTTTCTTAAAGATTCTAACAGTAAAAATTAATGACTGTAAGCAGTGACAACTATCACTATTCTCCATATCACCACACCAGAAACAGGAAGAACTCAAATGTGGACATGAATTAGAAGTCTATCTCAGTCTTAAAAAGAAAGGAGAAAGGTTGAAAACCATCTGCTCCTGCTGATTTATGAACAGCCAGTCATATCAAGTGCAAGTTCACTTGTGAATGCTGCTTGTTACCCAAAAATGGGAATGAAGAAACTTGAGGGGTCACGTGAGACACGCCCATGAAAACAGCAGCATCAAAGCCCCTGAGACAGATCTGTGAGCAAATTCTGTCACTGTGGCTGTGCCACGCATTCTCATGAATCCCTGCCACTGAGGAAGTGAAGGGTCATCTAGCCTCCAGACCTGAATGGGGAGGCTGACTAATAACCCACCATCAAGAGTCTCACCTGGGTCCAGACACATGAACTTGCAGCACTCTTTGGGGTCTTTGCGGTACTGCTGGCAGGCCTGGGGCCGCTCACAGAGGGCGGCCACACACATCTCAGGCTCCCCTCCATGGCAGGTGCAGCTCAGGCACGGATCATCCCCTTTGGGGGTGAAGTAGAAACCTTCATCCACCACATTGTCCTTGATGTCAACGCACGTTTGACCTGCAATGAGCACACGTGTACAGATGTATGTGTGACCCACGAAGGAAGCCCTGACCCTCCCCACTTGGAACTGGGGGATTGAAAAGGCAACGGAGCAGTTAGATTGTGCTGTAACTCTGTCCAGTGCTGCCCCACCACACAGGGAGTGGTTTTCTAAGAGCAGTTGCCACAACACACTGTTATGACAGAGCACATCTTGCCAGAGCAAATGTAGGCCACAGAGTGTCACAGAGCTCAAGAGGGTTAGGACAGAGAATGCCAGATTACAAGGCAAAGGTCCCTGTCCTTTGGAATTTGCTTTGGAGTTTCCTTAGTAGTTTACTTATGAGATTTCCTCAATTCTGAGATATAGCTGCTGTGCCTGTTAACCATTTTAAAACAGAATATGTTTCAAACAAATCTCCAAGGAAAGCGCCAGTTCTGTTTAGGAAGATGGTCCAGTGGACTTGAGACACACATGGTAGACTCTGCGCAGAGCTGACCTGGGACTAGAGTAAGAGGAATGGCCATGGCCAAGGACAAGGAGGGAACTGAAAACCCAGAGCTTTCAGTTGAAAGGCAGACATGACAAATGCCTAGGAGAAGGGACGAGGGATGAGGAGGACCTTGACGGGATACATATTCAGTGAAAAGCAAAGGGACATGAGAAGGAAGCTTGTTCCAGTCTCCAAATGGTATGAGGATGTCTAAAGACTCTTCTGAAATTTCACAATTTCTGTGTCTCACTTAAGACTGGGGTCAAATATACAACATTTATGTGATCAGAAACTCCCAGGGCAAGATAGTCACATAAAATTATTCCCTGCTAAAACAGAGAAAAAAGAATGAGAAAAATGAACACAATCCTCAGAGAAATGCAGGATACCATCAAGCACACCAACATATGTGAAATGGAAGTGCCAAAAGGAAAGGAAAGTAGAAAAATAATCAAAGAAATAATGGCTGAAAACTATCCCAATTCACTGAAAAACAAAAACCTATACATCCAGGAAGCTTAACGAACTCCATGTAGGATAAATGTAAAAGATCAATAAACTGACACAACATAGTAAAAATGTTGAAAATCAAAGACAGTGAAAATCTTGAAAGCTACAGACAGAAAATGACTTTATAAGGGGTCCCCAATAAAATAAACAATGACTTCTCAGCAGAAACAATAGTGGCCAGAGGCAGTGGGATAATATATTCAAAGTGCTCAGAGAAAGTTGAAAACCTAGAATTCATATCCAGCTAAGCTATTTTCCAAGAAGCAAAAGCAAAATAAATACTTTTCCAGACAGACAAAAACTGAAAGGATTTGTTATGTGCAGATCCACCTTATAAGAAACACCAAAGGAAGTTCCTCAGACTAAAAGCATGTGACCCTCCCAGATAGTAATTCAAATACACATGCGAATAACAAAGAAAACCAGTATATAACTATAAATTACAGTTTTTTGGTTTTTTTTATTTTATTTTAGAGTTAGAGTCTCACTCTGTCACCCAGACTGGAGTGCAGTAGCCGCTCCTGGCCACCACAGCCTCGACCTGCTGGGCTCCGGTGATCCTTGCGCCTCAGCCTTCCAAGGAGCTGGAATTACAGGTGCGCACTACCACGCCCAGCTAATTTTTTTTTAATTTATTGTAGAGATGAGGTCTCGCCTGCCCAGGTGGGTCACGAACCCGTGGGCTCAGGCAATCCACTCTAAATTACAGTTTAAACCGGTATTTTTTTACTTTTATTCTCTTAACTGATTTTAAAAGCAATTGTATAAAATATGTATATAATGTCGTATTGGGTATATAATACATAGAAATATACATATATTTGCCGATAATAGCACAAAGGTGATATGTGGGAGCAAAACTATACTAGACTAAAGAATCTTGACCTAAATCTCATACCTTATTAAAAAGTTAACTCAAAAATGCATCACAGACTTAAATGTAAAACATAAACCTAAAAAACATTTAGGAAAAACTCTCTTCAGAACATAAGGCTAGGCAAAGAGTACTTGGACTTGACACTAAAAGAATCCTCCATAAAAGGAAAAGCTGATACCTAGGGCTTGAATAAAATTAAAAATTTTGTTTCTAAAAGTTCATGTGAAGAAGATAAAGACAAGCCACAGGTTAGGAAAAATATTTGCAGTAAAAAAAATAAATGCTAAGAGAAAATGGAAAAATGACATGAACAGATATTTCAACAAAGAGAACATACAGATGGCAAATAAGCACAAGGTTTTAACATTGTGAGCCTCAGGGAAATGCAAATTAAAACTGCAAGGAGCTAGTACTGCATACCTAACAGAATGACATGAAAAACAGTGAAACCAACAAGCACTGGGGAGGATGTAAAGAAATTAGATAACTCATACATTGCTGGTAGAAATATAAAATGGATAAGTTTGCTTGTTTCTTAAAAAACTAAACATGTAACTACTATACGAATTAGCAACTGCAATCCTAGGCATTTGTCCCAAAGAAATAAAAACCTATGTTTGCACAAAAACCTATAAACAAATGTTCACAGCAGCTTTCACTGTAAAAGCCAAAAACTGGAATCAGTCTACATGCCCTTAAACTGTGGGGGAAAAAAATCATGAAATGCTGCTCAGCAATAAAAATGAATAAATTATTAATATAAGTAACAATTCAGATTAATGTAAGTACTCTCCAGGAAATTATGAGCGAAAAAAGCCAGCCCCAAATGTGGCTCCATTTATAGAACATTTTCTACCTTATGATTTGATGACCAACAATGGCCAGGCCATATATGTATGACCAAAGACCTCTCCCTGATCTACTACCTCTGCAGCAACCAGCCAAAGGCAGTCAGGATCTGGTCAGTGATCACCAGCTTGCTGTCTATTTTGTGTGCATTACTTCCAACTCAAAACCCACCAGAGAAAGACAAATGTGCTCCATAAACTAATCACCTAAACTGCCCTGCTTCCAACCAGAGAACACCTGGAAACTTAGGTCCCTAGTGAGAAGTCTCTGTACTTGATCTAATTCCAGATGGTAGAATGGCAGGAGCACTAGTGAAGGCCCAATCCTAGAGACTCAGGACACTGGGCCTGCTGTGATGTAATCAGAATATCAGCTCCTACCACTACTGAGTCACACAGTGGACTATTGCTAGGAGAGCTGCAAGAGTCAAAGATGTGGCCCAAAGGGATGACTGAGTGTGGAAGGTGGAGCAGACATTAAGAACCCTCTGACAAACCAGCCCCCACACCAAATGCAAAGCATCACTATTGATTGTAAAGCCTGGGGTGCACTGAGGGTGCCAACAAACCTCAAGACCAGCTCAATCCCCACCCAGAGTAACACATCCTCACTGTACTAAAGACCTCTTTGCACTAAAGGCCTAGAAGGAAAGGCACAGCCATTTGCAAACATCAAAACTATCAAACTCGGTCTCTATCGTTCCACATGGTGTCTGACAGCCTGTAATCCCGCACCTTTGGGAGGCTGAGGTGAGTGGATGGCCTGAGCCCGCGGGTTCGAGACCCGCCTGGGCAGCGAGACCTCATCTCTACAATAAATCAAAAAATCAGCTGGGCGTGGTAGTACATGCCTGTAATTCCGGCTACTTGGAAGGCTGAGGCAGAAGGATCACCGGAGCCCAGCAGGTCGAGGCTGCGGTGACCGGGAGCGGCCACTGCACTCCAGTCTGGGTGGCAGAGTGAGACTCCAACTCAAAAATAAATAAATAAATAAATAAGCCCAGAGAAAAACATCATGCTCCAAAGACAAAACAACCAACAAAACCAGACCCAATATGATACAGAAGAGGGAACTATCCCACAGGAAATTTAAAATAACTATGATTAATATGTTAAAGGCTCCAAAGGAAAAGGTAGACAATATATAAGATCAGGAAATAGGAAATCGGCTGATATGGGAACTATAAGAAAGAATCAAATAGAAACCCTAGAAATTGAAAAACAGACAAAATGAACAAAACAGATGAAGAATGCCTTCACTGGGCTCATAAGTAGAATTAACATAGCCAAGGAAAGAATGAGTAAACTTGAAAACAGGTCAAGAGAAATTACTCAAACTGAAAGACTAGGAGACTTAAGAGATATGACAACCAGATGCAATGCATGATTCTGGACTGGACCAACGAAAAAACAGCTATAAAGGGTATTATCAGAGTAACCGACAAAACTGGAATAATGAATTGTGAATTACTGTATGGCACTGCATCCATGCTAAGTGCCCTGATTTTGATCAATGGACTATGGGTAAACAAGAGAGTGTCCTTGTTCTTAGGAAATACACACAGATTTAGATAATGGTAAAAGAGGATGTTTTCCAACTCACTATATAAATATTCCCAGCAAAATAAGAATAGAAAGGTACTTCCTTAACCTCATCAAAGGGATGTATGTATTTTTTTTTTTTTGAGTCAGGGTCTCACCCTGCCATCCAGGCTGGAGAGCAGTGGCAAAACATAAGTGTGATTCTCCCGCCTCAGCCTCCCTAGTAGCTGGCACTATGGGTGCATGCCTCTACACCTGACTAATTTTTTTGTTTGTTTTTGTCAAGATGAAGCCTCATTATGTTGCCTAGACTGGTCTTGAATTCCTGGGTTCAAGCGGTACTCCTACCTCAGCCTCCAAAAGAGCTGCGATTACAGGCATGAGCCACTGTGCCTGGCCCCAACTCACTTTATAAAACAATAGCCAGGCGCAGTGGCTCATACCTGTAATCCCAGAACTTTGAGAAATGGAGGTGAGAGAACTGCCTGAGCCTACAGGTTCAAGATCAGCCTGGGTAACATGGTAAGACTTTGTCTCTACAATAAATCAAAAAAATTAGCTAGGCGTGGTGGCGCAAGCCTATAGTTCCAGTTACTTGAAAGGCTGAGGTGGAAGGATCACCTGAGTCCAGCAGGTCGAGAATCCAGTGGTTGTGAGCGTGCCACTGCACTCTGGCCTGGGTAACAGAGTGAGACTCCGACTCAAAAAAAAAAAAAAAAAAAAAACCATAAACATGATGCAAACAAGTCAATGTAGTCCTAGCTGCTTGGGAGGTTGAGGCGGGAGGATCACATAAGCCCAGGAGTTTGAGGCTTTAGTGCACTAAGACTGTGCCTGTGAATAGCCACTGTACTCCAGCCTGGGCCATAGAGTGAGACCCCATCTCTAAAAACAAAATAACAAGACAAAGAGAGTATAGAAATGGAATGTAACAGGCCAGGATCACTTCTTAAAAGTTCCAAAAATTTAAATAAAATATCAGCAAACCAAATCCAGCAGTATAATATATATATACAAAAACCATGAGGATGGTTTAACATTAGAAAATCTATTTAAGCCAGGCTCGGTGGCTCAGCCTGTAATCCTGCGCCTTTGGGAGGCTGAGGTGAGTGGATTGCCTGAGCCCGCGGGTTCGAGACCCGCCTGGGCAGCGAGATCTCATCTATACAATAAATCAAAAAATCAGCCGGGCGTGGTAGCGCATGCCTGTAATTCCGGCTACTTGGAAGGCTGAGGCAGAAGGATCACCGGAGCCCAGCAGGTCGAGGCTGCGGTGGCTGGGAGCGGCCACTGCACTCCAGTCTGGGCGACAGAGTGAGACTCCAACTCAAAAAAAAAAGAAAATCTATTTATATAAAATAAGAAATGAACAGATATAGTAAAGAAGAAAAACCACATAACTCCAACAAACACATTTAAAAAAATTTAATGAAAATTAATATGTTTTTGTAACAAATATTCCCGGCAAAATAGGAATAGAAAGATACTTCCTTAACCTCATCAAAAGTATGTTCTACAATTATATAGAATGTATTCCATTTCTTGCTGACATAGTAAAAGCATTCTCATTTAAGTTTAGAAGACAATCATATTCACTACCACTACTTCTAATCAGCACTGTACTAGAGACTTCAGCAAGAAAAGTTAACACCAGGAAAAATAAAAAAAGTAAAGAACTAAAAGTTAAAGATTTAAAAGAAGAAACAAAATGTCTTAAATAGAAAATCTAGAAAAATCAAAAAATAAAAGCATAAGGAAATTCAGAAAACTTACCCTAAAATTCATTTAGAGGAGAAAAAGGCCAAGGATAGGCAACATAATAGTCAAATACAAAGTAGAGAAGTCATAATACAGCTATCAAGATTGATCGTGAAGCTATAGCAAGACAAAAGCATGGCACTGACGCACAATCGACAAGATAGTCAAGGGTCAGAATGGACTCCAGAAACAGATTCAGACATGCATGAAATCCTAATCCATAACACAGCAGCAAGGAAGGGCGTGATGCTTCACATGGATGCTGCTGAGATCATTAGCTGACTCTTTATGTTAGTGGCTGCCGGTGGCCCCCAAAGCTGATTCCATCCCCTACCCCATCACAGAGAAGGACCAGACAGAAGCAGGGGCCGTGCCCTTGGTCAGCACAGCCATATCTTGAGTCCCTAAAGTTGAAAGAGACCTTAATGTGGAATTTGGGTGAACGGGTTGTCAGAGGGACAGAGAAGGATCTGTGACACCATAGACTGGGGAAGAGGCAGCAAAGGAGACAAGCCAAATCAAGAAGCAGAAAGGATTGCAGAAGGATCTGAGAAAGTTGGGGGAGGCAACCATCGGACTCAGATATACCACAGATGCCAGGGATTGGTAAGTCTTTGGATCTCCATTCCCTTTTAATCTCCTAACAACACTGAAGCAGGAACATTCTATCCTGGGAAAGAGAATCGTGGGCTCAGAGAGGCCGAACAGCTGCCCAGAATACAAAGCTATAAATGGTCTGGGTTCAAGGTATAAGGCGGGCAGGGCGTCCACTCCAACATGGCATAGCACGCACACCTCAGAGTCCAATGAAGCATTCCCCAAGAAGGCATGGTCAGGGGGCTTACTTCTTTTACACAGAAATGAAGACTTCTCATAACAGCTCTCAGCATGCCAGCTGTGGAGGTCATGGTGTCGCAGGGTGGGAAAGTGGAAGCATTGGAGCTGTGCACAGAATACGTTGTCATTCTCAGATATGGCCGAGGCGAAGATGGGGTCTGGGGGCAGGAACACCTCCGAAGAGCCTGTGGGGCCAGAGAGCATAACATGTCAGCACATGAGTCACATGCAGTCTTCAAGGGACCAAGGCATCAGACAAGACTACCAAAGAGCATGTGGACTGTCAAGTGCTGGTGGTCACTGCAGTCCAGCGTTCGCTCAGGACTCCCCAGCTTCTGGGAGTGGCTCCAGGCACTGGGCCTGTCTAGGGCTGCTTCTGTGAGACCACAAACACACAGATCTGAGAAGTGCTACTCTGAGCACCAGAAGAAAGCATCAGATCGGGGTTACCTGGTGGTATTCAAAGTCAGAGCAATAACATGAATAACAAAGTAAAAGGATTATAACACACTGGATCAGAATGCACGCATTCACAGATGCAAATAGACAGACAAATTAACAGACAGACAAATAGGGAAATGGGTAGGGGAAACAAATAGGCAGGGAAAGGTGAAAGCCCCCCACCCCAGGACAGAATACTGGAAGTCTCCATCTTGCACCTGTGAGGAACATACCACTTGGGCAGAGTCGTGGGCTCCAACATCCCCAGAAACATCAGCATTCCTAGTAGGCAGGCTGGAGGGAACACCTGGAAAGCACTGGCTTCCTGGGATACTTGCTCACCCACTCAGCTCCTGCCCTCCACACCAGGGAAAAGGCGCTCAGAAACTGCTCTATCCTTGCCACTGAGGATGTGCCTCTCTTCTGCCATGTCCCAGGGCCTACTCTCTCCTCTGCACAGCCCTCCATGCCTGGGCCACCATGATTTCTTGAGGCTCACCTGATCCAGGTCACTAGAAATACAAAGCAAGCTTTTCCAGAAAGCAGAATAACCAACATCAGGCTCTCACATTCTTATGACAGCAGTGCAGTTCACCCCTTTAATAAGACTAGGCATTTCCACCCACATCCTTCTAAGCTCTGGTTACTTCCAGCACTAAACATAGGACTCAGTTTGAAAAGATCGATGATTCTGAAGGCAGGTCTATTCTGTGCTCTGCAGAGGGCAGGGGACTGGCTCTCAAGAAACACCAAGGCCTGCAAGGCCTGTTCCTGGCTGGCAGGCAGCCACTGTGACAGCTGCATCCTGTTCCCAGAAACATCGGGCATTCTGCCTGCCTCATCTGCATGTGTCAGATTCGTAGGAGGGCAGGGACGAGTGGCTCTCTGGAGATGTCTTCCATACCACCTGGAGGGCTCATCTCCACTGCCTAGTGGGTGCCGCCACCAGCACACTAAGCACTGCTATCCCACCTTTCCTCCAGAGGCCCCATTTCCCAACCAGGCCTGAGGCTCTGTACACCCCCTCATCTCCCACAGATGCCTCTTCACCTAAGTAGCACCACACCCCTTTAAAAACTATCCTCTTCAATATTTGGCTTCTTATTCCATGGGCTAATCTTCAACTTCAAAACCCAAGTTCTCAGTGCTGAAGTCAGCTGCCAACTCTGAGCTCCTGAGCACAACTGCTGTTCATGACGGTGAAACTCAAACTAAGGCCACAAATGACCTCTCAGGGCAGAGACTTGGGACCTAGGTCCACTCCAAAAGCTGCCTGGACCAGGGCAGAGTCAAGCTGGAGGGTGGCTCAGGCAATCAGCAAAATGGGGTTCACACAAGACTTGGGTTCAGGGCCTAATGAGCTACATGTAGTTGGAGCACATAGTGTCACCCTCACGTTAGTGAGCTGCCTCAGCATGTGTGCAGCACACCCACCCAGGGAAGCTGCTGGAGGTCAAGCCTAGGTGCTGACTGGGGGCTGGTCACACAGCTCCCCCCAAATGCAGCCTTGCAGAGGGAGCAGACACCCACCACAGACACGTGGTATGTGTAGTGGAAGCAGGCTGGCACTGCTAGCACTAACGCACCCCTGCCAGGGGCCAAACACCAGCCCAGGCCAGAATACACCAGGAATGAGCCCCAAAAGTGGACAGGAGTATCCCAGAAAAGGCTCACAGTGACAGCTAAGAGCAAGGCAGCCTGTGGGGCTACAGGCCAGGAGTGGTGGTGGGTAAGGAAGAAAGGGAAGGGAGCTGCCATCCTCGGTGTAATTGTGACTGCCATGAGAAATGAGAACCAGGAACAACAGCAGGGGCAGAGCGGAAAAGGATTCTCCGGCAGTTGTGTAAGGAGAGATGGGGTTGGGGCCAGGAGACCTGCCAGAGGCTATCAGGTAATGAGGTGAGTAATCATTAGGGTGTCAGGTAAGATGGGGGCTGCAGGCTGATGACAAGTGATAAGACCCTGGACCTATATGAAATGGGGTGGGGTATGAAAGAAGCCAGGAGGACTCCCCGCCCTTTACTGGTGATGATGCCTACAGGCTTTTCTCTTGGGCCTGCCACTGCCTCCTGGACACCCCCACCCCATCCTGCTCTTCTTGAAGGACCCCTGGCCTGGAGAAAGGTACTGTGAGCACTGGGAGCCATCTTTTACCCACAGAACCCGTCTCCAAACCTCCTCCAGGATGTCCCTCCTCACCCACTGATACTGTGGCAAGATCCAGTTCTCACCTTGATAGGGTGGCAGCAAGCTTCCAGTCAGTTCTCTTACTCATTCACATCTGAGTTGCTCAGCACAGCTCTACAGGCCACCTAGGGCTGGGCCATTGCCAGCCACAGGATACCTGGCTCCTGAGTTTGATATGCAAGGGCATCTGAACGCCACCTAACTGCCTCTACCATGTCTCCTGCACATGTGAACAGCCACTGCCACCTTCGTGTCTGCCCCCAGCCCACAAGTCCCCACCAATCCTGCAGCAGGGGAATCCTCACTCATTTTTCTGAACCCATGAACACCCCTTCCTGCCTTGTCACTTTAGCACCCACAAAACAACCCTGCATGGGCTTACCTCCCTAATGCCCATGATAGAGGCAGCTGCCCCACTCTGTGACTGTCTTCCCTCTGGAAATTGCAGCCTGAAGCCAGGTGTCCTTATTCCAGCCTGATGACCACCTCATTCAGAAGGCAGGGTCTCTGCACTGCCCTTCCAGCAGCTGCTAGATTGGCCTGGCCTCTCGCTCACTGTGGACTAGGGCTTCTAGATGGTAGGTCCCACAGACTGGTCCAGGACCACCATCTTGTCTACTGACCTCACTGGCCAGGACCCTACAACATGGCCATGTCTCCCCTGGGTACTGGTCACATCTGAAAAGTTGTTGGGAAGACAAGAAGGCTCCTTCTAAGTCATTCACCTCCTGATCTCAGCCAATGTGTGATGCAAGTTAGCACCAGTGGTGTGGGTGCTGAGAAATAAGGGGATAAATGGGGCAGAGGCACTGAGCAAATCTTAAACAAACAAGTCATACAACACATGAACACTCTATGTGTTTCTACTTTTATATTTTAAAATAATTATCAAGTATGAATAACCAGAAATAGAAGTGACACTGTCAGCAGTAATGATGCAAGGCCCCCGTGGAGTGGTGTGTGGGAAAACGTGGACAATTCTTTCTAGACAACAAGTATCTGTATTTTTTCAAAGTTTCTACACAAATGTTATAAAAACACTGGCCCCATGTCCTCTGGTGACAGTTGTCTCCAGGCATACCAGGACCTGTTGCTGTCAAACTGCAGGGTCTCAGCACCCCGGGGCAGGGCTCAGAGGCTCACATGGACCTGGAGAAGAGTCTGTGAGCGTGTCCCTCAAGGCCCAGGCAGCCAAAGGGGAGTGAGCTCCACACTTAAAATGTATATGGTGGTGCTGACAGATATGCATAATAAGTATGTGTATTTATATAATATTACTCATGTACCATTGTGCTGATCCATAGCACATGTCATAAAACAGAAAGACAGTGGACAATACGTAGATGAAACACACATTTTAAAATATCTTACTGAGAGGACTTCCTAGTATTCTTAGCTAATATCCTCAGACACAACATGTTCTTAGGGAAGGTTCATCACTAGCAATGAAAGGTTTGAATCCACTCACCATGGTTTTCCTGACAATTTTTTTGGGGACAAACTCCTCAGATCCCACTGGCACCCTCTTGCACCACATCTGTGAGAAGGGCTGGCCAGGCCACGTTCTTTGCTTGCTTGTATTTTCACTACTGTATTCTTTTCACTCTGCAGTTTCTTGGGGTTTTTTTGGTTTTGTTTTTGGCAGAAATCTTCTTAAATGCGTTGGTACGGAATTTTTTAGAAATATACAAAGGTAGAGAGAAAAGTGCATGCATCACCGAGTGGCTCCAGCACTGACCCACAAATGGCTGTTTGGTCGTCTCACCCCTTCCTGGACACCCTTCCCTGCAGACATCAGAGGGGCTTGCTCCTGCACACAGGTGCACAGGTGTGCGGCCCCTAAACTTACATAACCACAACACTTGCTACACCTGAGAAAAGGTATCTGCAAAAGTCCTCATTCTAATTTCCTTAATTGTCCCCTGAAAGTTTTTTATAAGCCCTCAATTAATTGAGTGCCACCAAGATTCAAGTGCCACATTTGTTTTTTTCTACCAAGACACTTTTGTTGTAGATAGAAATGGAAAATTCACCAATAAAAAATTTATTAGGTCGGGTTTGGTGGCTCAGCCTACAATCCCAGCACTTTGGGAGGCCGAGGTGAGTGGATTGCCTGAGCCCACGGTTTGAGACCAGCCCGGGCAACTTGGTGAGACCTTGTCTCTAAAACAAATCAAAAATTAACCGGGCGTGGTAGCAAGCACCTGTAGTTCCAGCTACTTGGAAGGCTGAGGCAGAAGGATCACCAGAGCCCAGCAGGTGGCCATGAGCATGCCACTACACTCCAGCTTGGGCAACAGTGACACTCCAAATTGAATAAAAAAAAAAAAATTATTAAAATCCTTACAAAGCATGGATAAACACCATTTGAATATATATATTTTTAGAAATTTTATTATGCAAATATAACTGTAAATTTAAGAATAGAAATGAGATATCCAGCCAGGCTCGGTGGCTCAGCCTGTAATCGCGCGCCTTTGGGAGGCTGAGGTGAGTGAGAGGACTGCCGAGTCCGCGGATTAGAGACCCGCCTGGGCAGCAAGACCTCATCTCTACA